CTAAAACTCAATTTAAAAAAATTATGAGACTGAATCAAAGCTCCTTATTTTCTGACCAGTTAGCTCTCTGTATGAATAATAACCCCAACTCAGTGTTTGGGGAAAAAAAAACGTTTTCAGATCTGTGTTCTCTTCTTGATAGAGTCATGGAATGATGGAGCTGAAGGGGACCTGAGATACCATCTCGCCTGGCAGCCTGGCTAAGGCCTACAGAGGAAAAGTATAGTAAATTCTATCTGAACAGGAAACAGGCTGCTGAGCAGTTGTTTAGTGCAGCTCTCAGCTTAACACCCAGCCCAGAAAAGAACTTACCCAAGAACATTGTCCATCAACTGTCAATCAACAGCATTTATTGTCAGAACACTCTTCACAGCGTTGGTTCCAATCCCAGAAAACCAGACTCTGTGCTTCCCAATTATCACAGGCACAGGCCCAGGGGAGGTGAGAAGAGGAGGAAAAACACTGTGTTCTTTTAAAAGTGGTTCCTTCTGCATTTTGGCACCAAGAAAAAGCCGCAGAGATCTGGGTGCCCTTCATGTTAGTCCCTTGTCTTTCTCCCCCATTCCCTGAGAAATGATGGCTGAGCTGTCATCCTTCTCCCCAAGGAGCCTTGGATTTTCCAAACCATACCTTGTCCCACGGTTCTGATAGTGGGACAAAATACTTGAAATGGAGCTGGAATAAGAGCCTATGTGGGTCCTAGTGAAAGGGGGGGGGCTTTTGCAGTGAGGCCGACCTGGATTCCAGTCCTAGCTCTGCCACTTAGCAGCTGTGTGATTTGGGGCAAGATACTTAAACTCGCTGAGCCTTGGTTTCCATGTCTGTAAAACAAGCTCGTCATGTCAGACTTATGGGGTTGTTGTGAGAATTACTAAGTGATCGGTTCTACAGCTTGTGAGTGACCAGGAGAGACTCAGCAGGACTGATGCGACTGCTGCCAGCTTTTCATTATACGATTTCGCTTAGCAATTGTTGCTGTACATATATTGTTATTGTTTTGATGTTGGTTTCTATCAGCTTTGACATTATTGTAAAGCATCTGTCATAAGGAGTTTGGGGCAAATACTTGGGTTGTTTCCTGCTATCAAGTGTGCGTAGTTTATTGCAAAAGGCAGCCACCAACATACACAAGTTTCTCTCCGCAGAGAGGTGACACCCTCTCCACCTCTTTGACTCTTGCTGAGACCATCAATTCTGAGTTTCATGTGCCCAGTCATTACAGACAGTGGTGAGCCCCGTGGTGCTAGAGTGGCTGAAAGAGCCCCAAGAAACCCACCGAAGTCCTTCCATCCCCCGGTACATACAAAGGTCAACTTTGATTCCCAGAGGGACTGTTTGCTGAGCCTAACGCGTCTTTGCTTGGCTTTGTGCTGGAAATTCTGCCCACACGCAAATGGATTACTGTGATGAGCTAGCTGTCTGTCTGTCTGTCTTTGTCTTCCAGTGAGCTGTGGTCCTGAACTGTCTATTTGGGAGTTTCAGAGCTTAATTTAAGGGAAATTGAGCACTGCATTGACAGACAGAACTGGGTTCACTCCTGGCTAGGTCAGGTTTTCACTGCATGACCTTGGGCAGGTCATGTCTCAACTTTGGCTCTCAACTTCCTTGTCTGTGAAATGAGCACAGTGGGAGAATAAGATAGCTTAGACACTCTAGGATTATGTTTTTAGTGACCTTGTTATCTGTAAAGTGCCCAGATGTAAGGCACCCTCGTTGGCTGTAAGGTAGACACATAAAATAAGAACCAATCACTAACCCTCAAGATATCTTCAATCTAGTTAGAGAGACAGACTGACAACATCAAATAGTGAATGTCAGACATCGTATAATTAAAAGCCAGCTGTCTGATACTTACTGTTGATGCATTAGAAGCTCAGAAAAACAGAGAATGCTGTGGACATTGGGAGTGGCTTTGTGGAGGCTATAGGTCCTTGAGGATAGGCAAGATTGGGTTACGTGGAGACAGAGGAGAGATGGGAACCCAAGGGCTTGCTGTGCCTACAGGGGTGTGCCCTTTTCAAACTCTGGACAAAAGCACTGTATAGGCTAGCCACAGCCCTGCTTTATTTGTCATGCAGACCCTTAGGTCAATTCTTCTATCCCTTGCCCTATCCTGGGTTTGCCTGACTTGGGGCGCAGACCTGGAACCACCACCCCCACCACTGCCCCTAGTGCACCTTCTCAGAGCAGGAGTTGGGGAGAGAGGAATCGTTCACTGTCAAAAACATTTCAGGCAGGAAATGAAGAATTTCCTAGGTGGTTAAAAATACAGTGGAGACTGATTTATGTTTGAATTTTGTTCCAGGACAGCAGATTATAGCCCAGGTTCTGAGGCAAAGGCAGCGGTGCCTTTATGGCCTGCTTGGATCAGTTTTATGTCTTAGTGATTTTTATATGTTTCAGCTAAGCCAAGATGCTCGAACTTTTTTGTCCCATATATACTTCACTGGGGAACTCAGGTACCATTCCTTGCACTCCACCTCATTTTCCCATAAGTAGAAAGAAAAGCAAAAGAGATGAAAATAATGTTTTTGCTAACTATTTATTTGGTATCCAGTAATTTTAGCTAAATTAAATTAAGTCATAAATAGATTATGAACCCACATGAGACCCTGAAGTAGATATCAGGTGACATCATGGAAATAAAAGGACAGGAATCTAAATATTAATGAATGTGCAGATCAGTCCATCCCATAATATCTTCTTGATAGGAAGAAATTTCTATCGGACATTACTGCCGAGCAAAGCCACATGGCCTTTCCCGGAATGCTGATATATGTTCTTACCTTATGGCTACTGTACCTTTTGTAACTGATCACGCATCTCACTTTTTTGCTCATGAGGAAGCGTACATCCAAACTTGTTCAGGGATTTTGAGCATAGGTTTCCATGTACTAGCATGCTCCTTGGCTTTATTTTTTTTCTACCCTTGTTTTCCCTTTGCTCTGTCACTTTATCTATTTTTATCCCACTGTATTGTGTACATTTTGATAAACTACCTCAAATCGTTGTTTGGAACACAAAAGTGCATAAATAAATCAATAAATATATCCTGTGTTTGTAAATATGGCACCTTGTTCTTTCTAAGGCAATTTTCACATCCATTAGCTCTATGGGGCCTCACACAGCAAAGAAAGGAAAGACGGGCAGGTTAAGTCACCCCCACTTTGCAGACAAGGAAGCTGAGGTACATCCATGAACGAAGTGGCTGGCATGCAGAAGAGGCCAGGCCCACCCCTCCATCTATAAAGACCACCAGAAGCTCTGTGAAGGAGACAGG